CCACGGGAACACGAGGCGGCTCTCGCGAGACCCAAGCCGCCGGAACAGCTGCGGCTCTCCTTCCGCCAGCAGTGGGCGAACCCGCGAGGAAGGAAGGGAGGAAGCCAGGGAGGAAAAGCGCGGGGAGGGGTGGGTGGGATCCGGAGGCGTAATCTCTCTTCGTTGGTTGCGTCAAATTATGAGGAGCTTTGCTGCGATTTACACAAAACGACTTATTTAATATCGCTTAATCATCTCCAACCTTTTCGGGCGCCCCGGATTTTGATTTGCAGCCTGCAAAACAGGGACTCATTTTAATCCGTTGCAACGGGAGCGGCGAACCTTCTTTTTGGGGGGGAGGAGGGGCACTTTGACCCCGCGGAACCTTCGGAGGAGGAGGAGGAAGGGGGGGAAAACATACGAAGGGGCGGCAGGACTGGTAGGGGGGAGGAGGGTTGGTAGGTGGGCATGCGTGCATGCACCCACCCCAGGGCATTGCACCCCCTCCAGAGTCCCCGTCTTTGTTTTCCCTACCACAGTAAACATCCTCACCCAGTTTGTATTTCTTCCACTTTTCTGTGTGGTTATAAGGTGCCAGTGACTCTCTTCCCCCCCCACTCCCCGATCTCTTCCTGTATGTTGGACGTGACATGCTTTAAAAGAGTCAAAGGTCTGCCGTTAGAAGAGACCCCGAACCATTCCAGATAGAAAGATCTTCCTCCCACTATCAATCCTCTGATCCCAGAGAGATAAAAGTGGGATTTACTGTACTCACTATCAAAATACGTCATCCACTTAAAACGTCATAGGTGACCTTTTTTTTTTCCTGGCAGATAAATTTTAGATTGAACGGTAAGATAGCAAAATGAAGTGGTTTTTTTTTCGTAGTAGCTATTTTTTGCCTCATCCCTTATTTCTTCATCCCTAATCCTAACAAATCTTATTTATTTGGAACTGACTTCTGGGGGAAAAAAAGCCACATTTGGAACCTAGTTTGGTACAGTTAATCTTTTCGGGGTGAGGGCTGTAATGACAATGGTTAAAAGCAGGCAGAAAGTGAACAGAAATGAGTGAAAGTGAAGCTGCAATAACAAAAAACATAAATTGTTGTCTTATATGGAAGACAATGCTTTTCAAAATTAGGGACCTAACGAGATGGAAAATAAATGGTACAGTTCCAGAATTAAAATTTGTAGAGCAACAAATTAGTGAAAAGCTATGGACTAGATTTTGGAGGTATACCAAAATTTCCTTAGGAAATTTTGGCCTTAGGAATAGATCTCAACAGATGGGAAAACCTGACATCTGAGCGTTCAGCCTGGAGGCAGGCGGTGTATCACGGCCTCTCCCAATTTGAAGAGACCCTTGCCCAGCAGGCCGAGGCAAAGAGGAAGTCACAAAAGCAGCAAAACCAGGGAGCCGGACAGGGGACAGACTGGATTTGTCTTCAGTGTGGAAGGGACTGTCACTCTCGAATTGGCCTTCTCAGCCACACTAGGCGCTGTTCCAAGCCCTCCATACAGAGCACGCTACCATAGTCTTTCGAGACTGAAGGATGCCTAGGAAGCCTAGGAACCAAAATTTCCATAAGAAACAGTTTGGGGAATATTTCAGTGTAATTATAGTGAACTAGTGAATTGACTTGAGCAATCATCTCTGTTAACAACAGATAGCAGAGAGGCATAGACAGTGTGCAAACTGCCATGTGGAGAAAATGTAAGATCACAGGTCTTTTTGGTAGAAAGAGAAAACCCAGGGGTTCTGTGAAACTGGTTGTATTCTAGACAGCTTGCCAGTACCTGAGGATAACATTGACACACCTTTTCCTCTCATGGTGCTTTTGCAGTTCTTGCATATAAAACAGAGATGGATAAAATACAGTTTGCTGCAGTACCCCACAGCTATTTTTGTGACTGTCTGAAACAGGCACTCTATTTCCCCCCTCCATTTTAAAATTCTCTAAAAAATCAAAAGGAGTTCTCAGAAGGTCACTGTATGCCATAAGGGAAGTATGGGCCATGATTTTCCATGCTTTGGGGGCCCCTCAATTTTTTTTAATTGACACAAGGAGGCATTTTCAATTAGAAAGCATGTCCTTTAAAAGTTAGCCAAATTTTTCAGCTGGTAAAACCCATTGTACTGATCCTTTTTTTTGTTGTTACCAAATTAAACATGCAAACTAGATGCTTTGATCATGCTCCTTCCCCTTACATCTTTGATAAGGTAAACTATCAATTTTGGTGCCTGTCTTGCAGAGTGGGGGGTATATCTTGTTAGGAAACTGGTTAGTGTGGCCGAAAATAGTTGAGGAGAAGAAGCTGAGATTTTTTCAAAGGGCCAATTCACCTTTTTAAAATTTATTTTTATGGTGTGTATTTTGGAAGTGTATAGGAGTTGTTGGCTTTGTGTAAAACAGTGACTGAACTGTTCTTTCTAAAAGGCTTCATTTACATATATTACTTAGGTCTTACAGGGATTGTATTCCTAAAACATGTAATATCAAAGTGAGAAAATCATTGTGGTTCTTTATGAGTGTTTTCTTTTGGGGGGGTGAGGGAGTGGAAATAGATATATTCTACAGAGAGCAATATTGATAAAGAATGTTGTAACTTCTGTGCAAAGTCAGTTGAAGCAGTAATTACAGCAGTGAGAATTATTTCCTGAATCTATTTACTGTTCTACAAACATCCAACCGACCATTGTGCAGCAATAGTGAACCTTGGAGTTTTGTACAGTACTTCTGTTCATATACTGAATAAATTGAAATAAAGTTTCAACATTTTTTTCTCTCTCTCTTTCCTTTCCTTTGTATCATAGTTTTTTTCCATCAAGACAATTTGTTGAACTTTGTTCAGACAAAAGCCAGAATCCTTTTGGTAAACTGCATAGCACACAAGCAATATGCACAGTCTTGCTGACACACTTGGACAATTCCATTTGGGAGCACTCCCTTTCATAATACATGTTCAGCCAAAATTAAATTTTGAGACTCTAAGATTTTCCATCTTTAAGCTGTAAGTCAGTGACTAAGTCAGTAGTAACTTCTTTAGAGCAATTCCAAGGGTCTATGCAAGTACAGTATACTGAACACAGTTATGCATCTTGGATATTTGTATTGGTTTTATTGTTTTTAAATTTTGTAATGCTGCCCAGAGTAGACTATCTGTCTAGATGGGTGGGGTATAAATCTAATAAAATAAAATAAATAAAATAAGTTATTCTGGTTCTTTATGTTTATCTGCCGTAAGGCTTGGAAAGACAAATCCTTTACCCCTCTGCGAAGTTGGAAGCAGATTTGGGTTGTCCATCCCAGGGGACGAGGGAACCTGATGAATTCCTAAAGGCTTTCGGGATTTTCTTGCTTACGTGAATGAGGAGATCTGTAACTCTTAATCCCATATGCGTTAGATCTTATTTGTGTACTGAAAAATAGCCAGTGTGCTTTGCCTATACCTTGTAATATAGCTAAGCCCCAAATATTATGTGTAAAGTCATTCTCTGCAAAGCATGAAGACATCTAGGCATTCTTTGTTGTAAACTGCATCTTCTTTGTTGTAGTAAACAATGCCTCATAAAACAGTTAACGGGAGCATACTGTCCTGTGAATAAACAGACCAAGGAGCCCTGACTGAGACAATACAAGATGAACTATCTGACAAGTTGGGTGGACAGGCCAGATGCCAAAGGAATGTTTCAACTTGGGTACATCCTGTAAGAAAACACCACTTAACAGAAGTTTAGTTTACTTGCTTATGATGCTTTCTAGAAAAGCTAACCTGTGCATTCTGGAATTTTAATTTCTATATCAACACTACAGTGTACAGTATATGTGTTGATTTCCCTACTAGCATTAATAAATGTTTGCCTGATAACTTACATTTTATTATGTACGTTTTAAAGAGAAGGGTCTTGACATGGATAATGCTCTTAAATCTCTGGTGGGATAGAGATGACTACCAATTATGGCAAAGCAGCTACCATGTTCTCAAGACAGATAGATATGACTACCAGTTATGGTTGACATAATTACTCCTGATTGTCCCCCACATATACACACTTTTGTTGAACCCCTTTGGCACTGTATCATACAGTGAGTGCCTATGATGATGAATTACTCCCCCACATATACACACTTTTGTTAAACCCCTTTGGCACTGTATCATACAGTGAGGCAAAAGAGAAGGCAGCTGGAACGCAGATGAAGAAGGACTTGTGTCCAAACTCGATAGAATACAGGTTAGAGCTTGTTACTGAGTCTTACAGAGAAAGAGAGTGTTGAATTCTTGTTTGCCAATTGTGGTGTATTTGTGGTGTAATTTGAGATAAAGCCACTCAGATGGGCAAGAATCTGAAATTCTTAGGTGATGCAAACCAAGGTCCCATGCACTGCCTTTTCAGAGATCTGAGGATGTGGGTAGAACACTCTGCCCAGCTACAGGTGTTCTCAAACTGCCAATTTTAGCTGATTATAGTGAATAAAGGTAAAGGTTCCTCTTGAGAATTTGTCCAGTCCTGTCCAACTCTAGGGGGCAGTGCTCATCTCTGTTTCCAACCCATAGAGCTAGCGTTTGTCCAAAGATAATCTTCCATGGTCATGTGGCCAGCGTGACTAGACACAGAACAATGTTACCTTCCCACCATGGTGGGAATAGATTTCTCAAAAACTGGACCCAGAAAGTGTCACTCTCAAGCAACATAGGACTGGGTCCTAATAATTTTAGACTAGTGAAAAGTCTCCCAATTGGGGGCAAGGTGACTGAGTGGATGGCGTCTCACCAGCTAGAGGCACATTTTGATTATATTACCTGGAGTCATTTTAGTTGGGTTTTTAGTCTGATTTTGGTATTTTAGTCTGTCTTAGTCACAATATGAGATGACAATTATCAGAAAAAACAGAGGAAATATACACCTGTTGATTCTCAGATCTTTCAGCAACATTTGATACCACTGACTATCCATCCACTAGTAACCTCTAGCCTGGATTACTGTTACATGTGGGACTACCATTGAAGATAATCCAGAAAAATCCAGTTAGTTCAAAAGAGAGCAAGGCTGCTCACTATGTCTGGTCATTCTGAACATGTAGGTCTTGGAAACTGAGTGGTAATGAGTTGATGCAGCACTGGGATGGTGTATTAAAAATGCCCAGTCCCTGTGGGCACTCTTGTTGCTCTCTTTTGGACTAACTGAATTTTCTAGGTCATTTCTAGATGTAAAAAGCTATAGTACAGCAATGTGGTATGTACACCACATCACAGTAATACCGGCAGGAGATTCCAGTGCTTGGATAACTGCTGTAGGGTTAATTTTTGTCAAAACCAAAGTGTTACTACCTACATGACAAAAGCAGAAGCCCTTTGACATGGGCCAGGAAGGTATGGGTAGGAACATTCTTGTGTGTGCTAGCAAAGACACAGTCTGATTGCCATCTTTAAGACTGCACCAGCCCATCCCTGCAGCGCTGTAGTCCAGGTAGTAAGCTTCTGGTTATGTTCCCCCTCCCCCTGCAAATCTATGATTGCTTTGTTTTGTTTTATGTATTTATAGAGGGTCCCGAGTGTGGTGCAGTGCAGTGATTCTTAACCTTGGGTTACTCAGGTGTTTTTGAACTGCAACTCCCAGAAACCCCAGCCAGCACAGCTGGTGGTGAGGGCTTCTGGGAGTTGCACTCCAAAAACACCTGAGTAACCCAAGGTTAAGAACCACTGGTGTAGTGGACTGAGTGATGGACTGGGACTCTTGAGACTAGGGTTCGAATCCCTACTCAGCTATGGAAACTCACTGAGGGAGTGGAACTGGTAAAACCACTCCTTATGCGTATATCCCACTTACTTTCAAAACCCTATTAGGGTCACTATAAGACTGTTCTGACTGACAACACACAACAATGGCAAATGTATTTATAAACTACCCTGAGAACACTACTAGCTGAGCTGTACTTGGGCATCTTAACAAAATTAACAATTCATTGTCTGGATTATTTAAATGGTTTGAGAGGAAGTCTTATTGAATATACTCTAGGAAAGCACCTTCAGTATTTGGCATTAAGTGCTTGTGGCCTGCAGTTCATTTGCCAAATGAAACTTGTTAGTGTTAGAGATGCCACAAGAAGTCTCTCTTGTTTTTGTTTCCACAGGTTAACCCTTGGAGTGTATTTCTAAGTCCATGGTAGTAACTGGGAGATGGATACCCAGGGTGGTCTAGTGTAGTGATTCTCATACTTGGGTTTCCAGAGGTTCTTGGACTGCAATTCCCAGAAGTCTTCGCCATTTGCTGTGCTGGCCAAGATTTTCTGGGAGTTGCAATCCGAGAACATTTGGGGGCCCAAGTTTGAGAACCACTGGTCTAGCGGATAGAGAGGTGGGCTAGGACTTAGGAGACCTGCCTTTCAGTCCCTGCCCGGGTAGGGGAAGCTCGTGAGGACTGCGGCGCCGGTAAAGGCACCCCTTAAATAGTTCAGGCTTACCTTGAAAGCGTTACTGGGGGTCGATCTAAATCGGTCCCCAAGTGATGGCACACAAGTACACCGACGCCCCCACGAATTGGTGCAGCATAGTTCCCGCGTGTCCAGGAAGGGATGGCACGCCAGGGGCTTTTTCGTGCGGCAAGGTGTGGGTGCCCAGCCGGGAGAGGAGGGGGGAGGGGAGGGGAGGGATGGTCCCCAGGGAGAGCGGGGAGAGTGTGTGTGTTTGTGGGGGGGGGGAATACGGCTCCAAGCCCATGCGCCGACCGTCGGGCTGCCGCCGGCATCGCGCAAAGGCGCCCCCACCCCAGCAGCAGCACGTAGCAGAGGCGCTCCTTCGCCGTTGCGGGCAGCGTCTCTTCTCGCCTTCTCGCCGAGAGGGGACGGGAGCGGAGCGCTGCTGCAGGTGCGTTACCGGGCTGGGAGGGAGGAGGAGGACGAGGCGGCAGGTGCCTGGAGTGGCTGCTCCTCGGGGCGCCGGAGCGGGGGGTCCTGCCTGCCATGGGGGGGGGCGAAGGGAGAGCAGCCCCCTACAATCTCTCTCTCTCCTTTGCCAAAGCCGCCGCTCTTCCGTTCGCCCAGCGGGGAAGTGGCTGACGGCGCCAGGCGAAAGGCGCAACGTGGGGACGGGGTGGGGTGGGGGATGCTGAGGATCCGGGCGCCTGGGCGCTGCCTCGCGGGACGGCGATGGGGAGAGGAAGGAAGGGATGGGGAGGGAGAGGTGGCAACCTGGGAGGGGGGTATGAGGAGGAAAGGGGGTGCAAGGCCAGCTGCGGCTCCGGATCAGGTTGGAAGACGGGGGATGCTGAAGGGAGCTGGCAAGGGGGCCATCCGGGGCGGCGTGGCCCTTTTGCCGTGGCCCTTTTCTGGGCCAAGCTTTCCGCTCCTCGGTCCTCCATAATAAGGGGCCAATGCAAGGGGGGCCGGTGTGGGTGCACGTGGCTTCTCCCCCGGCGGTCCTGCTCTCGGGTGCCGGTGGACGGTCTCATCCTGAGTACCTCGACCGCCTCGGCCCCAGGGCTTGCTTCGCCTTCTCGGGGCGGACATCGCTAATCGGCTAAGTTATCCTTTGACCGAAGCCCCCCCAATTCCTAGGCGTCCATTGGAGAGAACGGGAATTCGAGGCAGATGGTTTTGTGGAGCGGAGCGAGACTGTCTTTCTTGGGCGGCCATTAAGAGAGGGCGAGATGTGGTTGTTAAAAAGCAACAGCTCTCTTGGAGAACCGATAAGCCTTAGTAAACGACTGTATACTGTTGCTGCCCTCTTGAGTGTTTTGAGCTATACCGGAGGCCTCCCCCTCCCCATCTTCGATTTTCTTAGCCATTGGTTCCTAAATTTTAGTCCAGTCTTATTAAAATCATTTAAAAATGTTTGCAACAGGGGCCCCTCCGGAGTGAAATGGCTGATAATCATTTTGCTGCCACACAGTTCTCCCATACAGTATTGTCTGATCTAAAGATGTATTGAAGTGGGTGTCTGAACAGAAATAGAAATGGTCCATGATGAGTCTAACTAGCTGCTTTGCTTTCTGTAATCATTTGTTTTTTTTAAATGCTAAAATGTATCAAGAAAAGGGGGACAAGATATTCACAATTATGTCACAGATGTAGGCTTGCCAGCTAAAGGTTGTGTCTTTTTACCAGATGGCCTTACAAGGGTTTTTCTCTCTTACTATGGTAGGTAGCAATTATGTTGTGCTGTAAAATTGTTCGGAGTACTTTACATACACAAACCCTTTTGCTAGGAAAGGAAAAGGTGAAACTAGACAGAAACAGGATGAGACAAGGGAAAGTCAAGAACCTCCTCTCACATAGCAAATGCTGATACCTTGCTGTATTCAATTTTACATGTATATCTCATCTTAGCCCAGAGAGCTCAAGGCAGTATAAATTACTCTCCTCCTCCCCACTCACACTGACAACCCTGGCAGGTAGGTATGTCTGAGAGGGTGATCCATTTCCTCCTTTCCCTTTCCTTCCATCCATCTTGTACATACAGTAAGGAGCTAGACTCCTTCCCTCTAGCTCTCAGCCCCCCCCCAAGCCCCTCCAAGGCACTGTGTGGCTGGCTGTCCCCCCCCCCTTCTTTCTCCAAAGCAACCATGTTAGTCTGTCTCAGCACGTTACTTTTGGCAGCATGCTATTTTTCTTTGTCTCTTCAGAAGAGAACAAGAATGACTACAGGCCAGAGGATGGAGTGATCTGATGGCTGCTAGTCTGGGGAGCATTCCCAATTTACCCTTCTGGTTAAGGCTAGAAGGTGTGGAAGTTCTCTTTCTATAAGCAGTATGAAAGAGGCCCAGGTAGGACCTTTCCTTAAAACATGCTGACAGGTCTTTGGTTCCCTCCCCATGTATGCATAGGTGACCTACCTGCCTCTGTTTCCTTACAGGCCTGGCCCACTTTGCTGTGATGATGAAATGGAGCACAGCGATCTGCTGGACTTTCATTTTACTGGCTGCCCTTTTCTTTGAAGACAGTGGCTGCAAAGGAGGGCGCGGCGGAGCACGAGGGGCAGCCCGGGGAAGTGCACGGGGTGCTACGCGGCGCTCAAAGTCTTCCTCTCGCTACGGCTCATCGGGGACAGCGCTGAGGGTGGCAGCCGCCGCAGCAGGAGGGGCGGCAGCAGGGGCGGCAGCTGCTGTAGCTGCTGGCAGGCTGAGATCAGCAGGGGAGAGCCATCCTGAAAACGCAGACAACAGCACCTTTGAAGGCAGTTACAACTATCGGGCATGGACATCAGGTGCTCAGTCCTGGCATCTTGTCCCTCTGTCCACTTACCTTCTTTGTGCAACCAGTTCCTTCTCACTTTAAGAAAGGCAACTTGCCACCAGGGGTTTCTCTCTTCAATCCCTGCCCTCTTGTTCTCTGATCAAGTGCTGGATCTCTTCTTGATGAATCCTTTCCCCGACTTAGGCTTGAACATGGCCACTGACTGTTCCTACGAAAAATCCTAGAATCACAGTGCAAGCTGGATGCCTCTACCACCTGTCAGGAAGCGCTCCTTAAAGTATCTGGACCTTGCTTCAGATACTGCCTGACATCAAAAAACACAGAGGTTCCAGCCTTCTTCTGGTGCCATGCAACCTGCCTGATGATGATTTACTCAGAAGACCAGTGCCACTTTTAAAGCCATGCCAGCTGCTGCTGAACAGCTGTTACCCAAGATTAGCCAAATGTCTGCCCAGTGCCTGGCTCCTAAGGTGCTCAATCAACACCTCCTCTTGCCACTACCAGAATTTACATATATTATATCATAGGCTTATAGATGTGGTGATTTATTGTGCAGCAAATGGAAGGGATGTATTGTCAGCCACTGCCGTGGTGGAGTAGTTAAAGGTGGGTGCATCACTAATGAAGTTTCCTGTTAATTTTCACTATCTTGTGTGCTATTTCAACCCCATTCCATTTGACCACATTTTGACTGACAGTATCGTTTTGCAGTAACTTTTGTAATAAATAAAATGTGAAGTCCTTCAATTTAGTTTTCTTACCTTAAGTAAAACATCTGCAGAATCCAAGGTAACATAGAACAGTACTGTGTTTTGCCACTGTTTACCCCCTACTGTATGTGTGGGTATTTTGGGGGTGGTGTTGGAGAAGAACACTTCAATTAAGAGGGATTTCCTAAAAACTTGAAATTATGGGAGAAGCCTGTTTTGTGACACTGTAGTATTTGTAATACTGTTTTCTTGTAAATGTTTTAAATAATTTGTGGAAATTAAAAAAATGTCCATATTAATTCTGACACCATGCGGATATTGTAGCAGCAAGAAAGCACCTTACAAACTACCAAGGTATGACATAACACTCTATGTTAGTAAAATGAAAATCAGCTGAATGCTTACATATCTTACACTAAGGTTGTGCACAGAATATATTTTTGCTTTAGATTGTACGTTGGTTTTGGATAACATCAGATTCAAAAAAATCTGGTTTCAGATGTCTTCCTAGTAACGCCAATGCACAGGTAACTAATGGCTGTGAATGTACACCTTGCTGGAGGTGTATAAAATCTGATTTACGGCACCTGTTTTTAAGGTGAGATATTTAAGGAGTGGTTTTTACTAGTGCCGCCCCCTCCATGTGTTTCCATGGCCAAGGTGGGATTTGAACTCAGGCCACCTGAGTCCAGTCTCTTATAAAGTCTGCCATGTTTCAGATAAATAGAGAGCATTTTGTGCTATGCAGCTTAAAGTTGATGGGAGATAACAATACGGCAGATCTTGTCACTTCTATCACTGCTTCTTTAGCCAACATGAATTGTGATACTTTCTTGCTTCATCCCTCATGGAATGGGCTGAGCAGGCAGCTTGTGGTCTGAAGCACAGGGGAGAATCTAAACCCATTGTTTTGGGGAAAAGTGTCACCCCCAGTGGAAATAAAAAGTGTACACTAGTATGCTATATATTTGAAATATTTATACTCTGTGTTGTATCAAAAGATCTCTGAGTAGGTTACAATTTTAAAAATATTAATTTAACAATTTAAAACTATAATTTTAAAAATAATACCATTTACAAATGCATACATAACTTCACAACCTACCGCTTTTTTCTGTTTATAAGACGACACCCCCTTTTCTAACCCCCAAATTAGAAAGTTTGCACACTCACACCCCTTTGATCCTGCCACCCTTTCATGGCTGCTTTACCCTGTAGCTTTGCAAAAGGCAGGGAAAGCGGCTGCTTTCCGTGTATAAAACGACCCTCAATTTTTTGTCTATTTAAGTAAAAATTGTCGTTTTATACATGGAAAAATAAGGTACTTAGTCCACATGGGTTTGATGCAGGCATGTCAAAAATGCAGCCCACAGTCATTGCATTATGCTCCAAGACTGTTTTTGAGGCACCAGAAAGCTTCACAGAACTTCCAGTGCCCAGTCAGATTTTTTTTCCTTTTTTCCCCTTTTCTTTTTATTTTAAAGTGGCTTTTCCGCACATTAGTTTTTGCACTTGAGGCTTGACAGCTCCTTTGCCAGTCCAAACAAAGCAAAAATACCATATTTTCTTCAAAGTTGTATAGATGAAGCAAATGATAGAACATTCCTGTTACTGCTTAAGAAGCAGAGCAGTAAAGAAAGCTCTTCAAGAGTTGATACGACATAAGCTCAAAAAAACTGCCACCAGATCAGCACTTAACTTAATGAAAGCATGTTGGATATCTTGTTGGCAAAAGTGAATTCACATAGTATTATGCCTGAAAGTGCTTTGGCCAAACTACTTCCTAGACATTTAAAGAATGCAAACTTTTCCTGCTTCAGAACAGATACTCACCTGACTACCACAGCAAAGAAAAATGGATGCCAGGGATGAGATAGGGAAGAAATACAGAAAACAGTACAGTCTAGGGATGGCACTTTCTGAAAAAATGATTTCACAGTCCCGTAATTCAACAGGACACTCTCACCCAAGCTGAATTATGGGACTGGGAGCCATCAGAACAGGAGGAAGTAGAGGAGGCCTCTTACTTCCACAGTGTGTCCATGCTCTTTCTCTATGCCCTCTGAAAAGTACTCAGCTACACCTCTGAAGGTTGCAAGAATTCCCTGTGACTTGGAAGGGTGCATGAGAGAATGTGTTCAGATGAATGCTGCCTCCATACACTTTTTATAGAGGGAGCCTCAAACAGAGCTCACTGTTGCCCGTTCAATCCTCATCTGCATGATTTTACAGCTGAGTTTAGCAACTGTGCACAAACGACAGGTGAAAAAAATGTGACTAGCTGCATGTATTCAAGGATTATCAACATGAAGCAAAGTCCTTGCAGCCCTGCTCTGCTGGTTGTTGGTGCTTCTGCTCTGGATAGAGGCTCCCAAAGCTATTCAGGAGAAAACTTCAGCAGAATTGCAGAGAAAACTATGGAACTTGGTCAAGCATGACCTTCCCCAGAGATCCCTTGCGAAAAGTATGAATGAAATGATTCGCTGCTGCATTGTAGTTGGGTGCTTTCACAATCACATTTCCTGTGAAGAGAGAAAGAAAAAAGTAAAATATGCTCACCCAACACTATATGTGTTATAAGCAGTGGTCCCCAACCATTGAGGGGGGTCCATGTGCAGGTGGGCAGGGGTGTGCGTGTGGGGCACCAGTGTGTGCAAGGGGCACCCCTACATGCACGCATGATTGGGCAGGGCACCCGTGCATGCGTGTGGGCCGTGCATGCATGTGTGCGTGGGGGGCAGGTGATCTATCTCCGCGGCCCAGTCCTGCCAAGGTCCTGGCCTGACAACGGGCCATGGACCAGGGGTTGGGGCCCTTGGTGTTACACTGCTCAAATGCAAATACAGTGGTGCCCTCGCATAGCGAGGTTAATCTGTTCTGGATTAACCTTCGCTATAGCGAAACATCGCTAAACGGAAATAAAAAAGCCATAGAAACGCATTGAACTTCATTCAATGCATTCCTATGGCTTTAAAACTCACCGTTAAGCGATCTTCCTCCATAGCGCCGCCATTTTCGCGCCCTCGGTAAGCGAGGGCAGGGCGCAAAAACGGGGTCCGTGTGCAGGTGGGCAGGGGTGTGCATGCGGGGCACCAGTGTGTGCATGGGGCACTCCTACATGCATGCATGATTGGGCAGGGCACCCGTGCATGCGTGTGGGCCGTGCATGCATGTGTGCGTGGGGGGCAGGTGATCTATCTCCGCGGCCCAGTCCTGCCAAGGTCCTGGCCTGACACCGGGCCATGGACCGGGGGTTGGGGCCCTTGGTGTTACAGTGCTCAAATGCAAATATAGACTATAAATGGGTTCTGGTAAAGGAAGTAAAAGTAAAATAAGAGATTAATTTGTGAGAAAACAGAGGCTATTATAGCTGGAACTCTCTGGATTCATCTCTAGAACCTGCAACCAACTGAAGTCCCTCCCCCCTCAACTCTTCTGTCCACTTTGTAGCCAACCTACAGAATTTCCCAGCAAACAAAGAAACAGAATATAGCACAAAGGGCCCCAGCAGCAGAAACTCAGTGGTGCTGGCAGAAAGGAGGCATGCCAACTGATGGTGGAGAAAGGACAAGGACTCACCTGTGCCAGTCAGCACTCTCATTCGGCTGGTCTTGCCCAGGTGCTGTGCAATCCTCTTGAGTACACTTTCTATATCATCACACGGGCTACCCAGCCCATAGTATTCAACGTATCTGGCATGTAGGGGGGGATTACAAATAGCAGGATCTCTTAAGTGTCACGAAAGGGTCCCATTTGGGACACCACATCAGATCTCAATCCACAAGTAAGGTGTTTTCTCACCTAAATTGCTGGTGCTGATTCAATGTGTAAAGGAGATAATCAGCAATGATATCCTCACCCACCATGTGATCGTGGATTGCCCCTGGGAAGAAAAGGCAGGAGACTTAGGAGCTGGCAAAGCACCAAGTTATCAAACCCTTCTCACAAGATACTGGGCAGAGCGGGCCTATCTCTGCTGAAACACACCCACAATTAGCTCTTTGCACAAAAGAAGAGTACATTAAAAAGGAATCAATAAGGCATTTTTTGTGTGCCAGGATTAAGTCACAGACTTATTTGGGAAAAATACAACAGAACCCTGAAACCCTAAATGCAGAACAGGACTGGACAAATCCCTTATCCAGGAAGTTTCCTAAAAGCAAAGGCCTGTACAAAGTACTGCATAAGAAGATGGTTTTACAGAGCCAAGCAAGGGCTGTAGATTAAAATGAATAGCTCCAATTTACTGGCTTATCTATTATTTCACAGAACAAACCCTGTGGGGCTGGTTCCAGGTTCTTAAACTTTCTGCTCAATCAGCAAGGTCCAGATTTAGTCTTTACTCCATCCCCTGCAATATTCACAAGAGCCTACCACTAGCAGCACAAATGCACTAGGAGAGAGTCATCTCACCACATAATGCCAACTTCAACCCAGTCTCTACATTCGGAATTCTGGGAGTCAAAACCCCAGGCGTATCCAGTAAGAACATGAGGGGTCGGTCGCACACCTGAAATATAGAGTTTCCGACTCAGTTTTACAGTCTACACATCTGGCACACACATGACAAAAGAAAGGTATTCCAAGACTGTACTTTGTCTAAAAAGGAGAGACCACCCCAGGTCACTTACACAGCCCAATAAACAATGTGACCCGTAAACAGAGTCATGTATGATGTAAGACCTGGCTTCAAATCCTGGTTTGACTATGAAATTATAAAGCTAGAGAGACCCTGTGATTCAGTGAAGGCACAGGAAAGTAGTGTCAGTAGACTTTGGGAAATGTGGTGGCAGCGTGAAGTTAGCAAGCGAGTTTTCCTATAAAAAGGGGTTAGATTTTTTTTTTCAGGTGACAAGCTGTAAATAATCAAGCATTACCATTTAGAGCAAAAGGGACAGCCACAGAGAAGGGCCAGTAACTCCTCAGTGGTAGAGCACAAAAACTCTCCTGAACTCAACAAATGTCTCTGAGAAGCAGAACATGAAGACAACAGTCCTCTTCCACTGGTGCTCCCCATATAGGTATGTACACACCTATATGCACATACCGATATCAATCCCTGTTCTATTTCTGTGAACAGGTTCTTCTCCCCTCCGGGACGGCCCCTCAGTTTCGGTGGGAAATAATAAAGGAGTAGTCTTAATAACTTTCAATGTCTCTTCTTTATTTTCTCCTACATCCACCAGCACATCACTTACAGGTTCAAACGGTTTTAACTCGGCCAACAGGCCACAACTGTCAGAAACACAACTTTAATGGTAGTCCCAAGGGCTCAGCGGTGGGACTCCTCACGCCATTCCCTGTGCTCGGGTTTCAGGGGAGGATAGCTCCGGGTTGCACAAACTGTCCCACAACATTTATGGCGAACCCACCCTCTCTCGTCTGGTCCTTCAGGAAAAGGGTGTCGCAAAGCTTCCCACTCACGCTGCAGTTCGACTTCACGGGGCGCCATGATAACTGTCCACTCCTTAGTCACGTATCGGCTCGGCCCTTCTTTAGCTATCTCCGACTCTGGCAACAACCCCCCAACTTTCAGGTTCGGGAAATCTCTCATGAGGCTGTGGGTGTGAATCTTCTCAAATGCCCTCCCGCGCTCCTCCTGTCTCTTCTTCTCATAATCCTCTAATACCGAACTGAAACACCTAACACCTTCCTCATTTATATTTTCCATACCGATATCTCTTGCTCCACCCACTCTCCTTCCACTAAGCAAACCTCCGTCTTTCCCGCTCTGTCCTCCAAGTTTAATTCTCCTGCCTTTTTGGTAACTGTAGTCGGGTCTGTTGGTTGATCCCTTTCATTTGACTTTCCTTTGTCTCCTATATCTTTTACGGCCAAGGACGGCACACTCCCATCCTCTGTTCCTTCAGAATTTCACCTCCTGCTATGTGTACCACTTTTCATAGACAGAATGCCTATCTGCATCTCAATACACCCAGAAACAGCTTTGCATTGTAATCCCCAATCAATTTGATTTTGTGCAGGATGCATCATTACCTGGATCCTGGTTAGAACAGCTCTGGTAATACCTGGTGCTCCACCAACCAAGGAAGCCTTCCCTTTGTGTTAGGGAAAGAGAAGAGAGAGAAAGAAAGAGAGAGAGAGAAGGTTAGCGACGGACAGCCGACAGGAAAGAAAGAAAGAAAGAAAGAAAGAAAGAAAAAGAAAGAAAGAAAGAAAGAAAGAAAGAAAGAAAGAAAGAAAGAAAGAAAGAAAGAAAGAAAGAAAGAAAGAAAGAAAGAAAGAAAGAAAAAGAAAGAAAGAAAGAAAGAAAGAAAGAAAGAAAGAAAGAAAGAAAGAAAGAAAGAAAGAAAGAAAGAAAGAAAGAAAGAAAGAAAGAAGTTACATATAATGCATACAACAGGAAACCTAATTCTCAACAAGTTGCTTGGCCACTGTTTGGCTGAAATTCTGTTTCACAAGAAAATTGTGTAAATTAAGAAATCTCCAGATAATTGCTTGTTCCATACTGAGTTGCAGTCTTGCATGCAACAGACAATGGCCTAAATTTGTTGCTCAATGTGCTAAGTCCCAGTAGAGTAGATCCATTAAATCAATGGGGATTTGGTCAGTCATCTCCTCTGTAAGTTCCATTGATTCAAATGGTCTTACTCTAACTGCAATGTACTTTAGCATAGTAAGTTGCAGTTATAGGAGGTCCATTTGACTCAATAGGACTTACGAAGGAACTGACTCATTGGGGAATGAATAAAGAATGAGATTTTGGCCAATTTCTACAGAGATTTCTTAACTTACAACAATTCACATCTAAAAAGTTATGCTATTTACATACCTATGCAACAGGATTTCAGCTTCTGTGTCAGAACATGCCCCTTTTGCCTTACAGGCCAGAAATGTGACCGAAAATTTTGCTTTAGTGATAATAAACTCAGCCAAACTTCCTGCTCTCTCCAGCACATCAAATAAAACTTCCTTCAAATGAAGTTACAAAGCTACCCATTTTCTATTTAATAATCAATCAGCTTTAACTACACTTGAATATGAAATGCCAGCATACTCTTAATCATAGTTTTCCTGTATTTCCACTATATTTAAACATTTATTTAACACCAACAGCCTTCTGGTCACAAAAGCTGAAAGTCTAAGCCTATTAATTTTCATAGAATTGTAGAATCACAGAATTATAGAAAAATGGAGTTGGAGGAGACCTATAAAATTATTGAATCATATGGATTCCTCCTCAAATTAAAGTGTATCTGACAGATGGCTGTCTATCTTTATCTTAAATGCCCCCAAAAATGCAGAGCTGACAACCTCTCAGAGCAATTAGTTCCACTGTTTTACAGCTGTAACAATTAGGACATTAAAAAAAATATTCAGCTGAATTCTGGCTTCTTTATTTGAGTGCATTATTACATGTCTAATGCTATTTGGGTTTTTTTAAAAAATCTTTTTATATAAGAGACTACTGTTCTACACACAGTTTGGATACACCGGTTGTTTTGAAGGAAACTATAACCAAGGCAATGGAAAATACCTTTCTTGAGGTGCAGCCGTCTAATTGAATTGATAACTGATGATTTCCCCACATTTGGTACACCAACGACCATGATGGAGCTCTCAGGATTCTGGAATGAACCAGAAATAACTGAATCATCGACTTGCAAAAATATTTAGCAGTGTCAGGACACATCAGAATCAGAATATGGAGAATCTAGACAATGGAGAATCTAGACAAAATGAACACAAAGAGGTTGTTTCCAAAATTTGCCCTACAGTGAGCGGGAGAAACCTCCCAGTCACTACTCAAGAGGCCTTTTTCTTTTTTCTTTGAAAAAGAAAAGCACATCAACCTTATTTCTACAGGCATAAGCACACAATAGCTAGGTAGGTGTTCGTCCCCACTCTTCACTTTTGTGTGAACAGGCAAGCATTGTATAATTGCTCATTTTACCATCTGTGCAATTGTGCAAAGGGGAATGTGTGTGTGTGTGAAATCTGGATAAACCTAAGTAGGATTTTGGTCACCATAACTGACCTCAGATCTCTGATAGCGCATACTGTCGCTGATCAGTTCTGTGAGAATGGGAACCATCTGCAAGAAAAAAAAGGGTAGTTTTAGTGGAACAACTCTTATCTTTAAGTTAGGGAGAATAAAAGGGCTAGTGGCCCACTCTGTGGCCTTTCCTTAACAGGAAACACCACAAGTTGGTCAGAGACAACATCTCACTCTTTCGGTCACCAAGAGACTCAAGCAAGAAGCCTGATTTCTTCGTGAGAAACTCCCATCACTTTACAAGAAGGCAATTTTGTTGTAGGAGTGCCATACCTTGTTGACATTTTCATCTTTCAGGCAGTCTGCAAATATGGTATTTCTAAAGCCTTGCTGTTCCAAATGTTGTAGAATCCTCTAAAAGCACATTGAAAAAATGATTTATAAAATCAAAGAACTGAAGAACACCTGGGTGACTTACATTACTTTTATTTTTTAAATGTATATTCCCATATCCCATTTTGTTATACAGTGAAAACGCAAGGCTGCTTAGGCCAACTTGTGTACATAATAAAACAGCATTTTCCAAACAGAAGCCTTCTAAATATGTGGGATTCTAAGTCCCATCATGCTCAGCCAGTGTATCAAATAGTATACTGGCTTAGGAATGATGGAGGGCACCAAGCCGGAGAACAATAAGCCATAAAACCAGCAAAAGGAAGAGAGACTTTAACCAAGAATTACCATTGACTATATTTCTTTCCAAACAAATCTGTATTCAGTGCTGAGAAGAGCAGGAAATGGAAAGCAGACAAACCTGCCTAGATAGGTAATTCATATCCTGGAAAATGTGCAGGTCCCTTCTCTTCTCCTTACTAGCTGAACCTGTCACTGTGGGAAGGACTTTGGAAAATATGTACAGTATTATTTGAATTCTATCCTGCCTACAATCCAGAAGGATTTTAAATCAGCTTATTCTGAAAAATACATACCCTAGCTATATACCATTTAGGATTTTAAAGACTCAGGCAAACATGAATCATTTCACACAACTGTCATTAAAAACTAGGAAGAGCCGTGCTACCCAAAATGAAATTATCTTCATTTTGGATGAATTGCTTAAGGACCAAGATAACAGAAATTACAGCGAAGTGTGGAGTTTTGCCAATCCCACACAGGTTTTCAAGCCAGTTAGATATTTGTTGACCAACTAGTCTTCTAAAATTTGATGCATGGTATGTCCAAATGAGAAGGTATAACAATATATAGCTACTGTACACTCCTTAAAACAAGATAAAAAGGCAATGTGATCAATCAGCACATGTAAACAAAAATGTAAACAGAAACATGCATTGCAAACAATCATGTTTTATTATGCAAAGCTTCAAGGCCTGAAAAATAAAGCATCTGCTTATCACATGTAAAAGGGCAAAAGGAAACTTCTAGGCAACAGAATTGGAATAGCTAGTCATGAGGCAGTTGTAAGTAACATTCAATTTCAAATCATTAAATGGGCACCTCATGCTGTGCACCTTTTTCTTTTAAAAAGCACTAACAAAGTGAGATGCAAAACGCATCAAAATATTTAAAAATCCAGCTCTACAGGAACTGTACAACCCATTTGATTTTATAAGCAGTAAAGGTACAATAAAAATAAGTATTTTCGTCCATAAAAATAGAGTTGTCTAGATTAAAAGGGGTATTTATATGAAAAAATAATAAAGCATAATTAATACTGAACTTCTTTTGACCAAACATTTACTTCTATTGGAAAACTATTACCATGCTTCACTATGCATACACAACAGCTGGAACAGATAGTTTGGCATTTAAAATGTTGTTGACCATAACACACACCCTCTTCCTCTCACACATCACTCACTACACAGCAAATACCAATAAGACAACAGGAAAATGAAGAAGCCTGGTGCGGCTGGAACAGATGGTTTGGCATTTAAAATGTTGCTGACCATAACACACACCCTCTACCTTTCACACATCACTCACTACACAGCAAATATCAGACAACAGGAAAATGAAGAAGCCTGGTGCTGCCCAAGTGCGACAGCCCCAGATCTGAGACATCAGAGTATATCAGTGACAAACAGATGAGCATGGTACAAAATAATTCAGGTACTTTGCCATGTAACAAAAAAAGTTAGGACAGCTGAGGTTCCCAACAATTTAGAGCTGGTGCAAAGGATGCTGTCAAACATACCAAAGACTAAGAACTGCTTGCTTCACATACAGAATGGGCAGAAAAGCAGAAAATCCCCAGCCAGATATCTATGCTGCTGTTTCGCATCTATTCTGAGGATTAGACCCCAGCAGTCAAAATAAAGGAAGATCCACCTTGGGCCTCCCCAGCCAGATATCCATGCTGCTGTTTTGCATCTATTCTGAGAATTAGACCCCAGCTGTCAAAATAAAGGAAGATCCACCTTGGGCCTTACCTCTTTGTGGGTTAGATCTGCTAAGTCCATTTTGTTCAACACCAACAAATGGGGACGGATACCCAGGGTTTCCTGCAATAGAGGGTTCCGGCCTGAGAATGGGATGTAGATGTGCTAAGGAGTCACAGAAGAATCAGAAAGAATAGTTCCACACTGTCAAAAACACATTCTCTTAGTACCCAAGCTAAGCAACACTCACAAAAATATTGCAAATAAATAAAGAGGTGATGTTGCATGCTTATAATACTGTACAGCTAATTCTCTGCTTGCTTTGCAAAAATATGTTTTGCAATACTTTTGAAAAGGACCACATTACACTACTAATCTATTAAAATACATGGAAACAATTGAATGTTATCATAGAACATCTAGCTATACGAGAGTCAGTGTGGTTAGGTTTTAGGGTGCTCAACTAGGAATTGGCAGACCCAGGTTCAAATCACATCAAGCAGGAAACTTGATCCAGCCACTAACTCATAGTCTGACATACCTCACGAGTGTTGTGAATATGGGGGAGGGAGGAGACTCTTGTACACTGCCTTGAAGTCCTTAGAGGGGAAGCAAGGGTGGGATCAGACAACAGGAAAGGCACATATCTGATTGCACCAGACAAAGTTGCTTTGCAGGGAGGGATCTCCCTTCCATATTTTGGAGAATCACTCCAGTCTGGCTCCAAAAGTAGCAGCCCTAAATCTAGATGACATGAGGAATAGATTGTTCCACAACTGGTCGAAAATGTGATCTATTTCCCCATGTGATCCTACCCAAAGTGTAATTAATATATTTTCATCTACAGACTGTGTTAAAGATGGAAGGGAAGTTGAAACATTGGTATTTTGTATCCTAAAACTTTTATTTGCATGCCTGTACCTTGTAGACACCTCTCCAAACTGTACTACACATTATAAAGCCTATTGAACACACAGTCCCAAGATGTGCTCAAAAAGTAAAGGAGGGCCAAACTAGGGTAGAACCAATGAAAAGGCAACTGGATTATTCAAGAGAGGGCAAGGCAAACTCTTATCGAAGTGTGCTTGGTCCCCTTTCTTGCAGTCTCCCCAAAAGGATATTCGGGCATCGTGCACTTCCAGTAAACAGTCAACTTGGCGCAGGTGTCTCTGCATGTCCTTTAGCCCTACAAATTAAAAACAGGCAAATTGAACTGACAAGCCAGAGCAGCTCCAGTTGTGCCACTAGAAGGGAATAGAAGCACCCCCTTCTCAATTTTTGCCAACATGCTCCCAGGCAAATCCATTAGTAGACAGTGGCCTCAGGCAGCAGACCCTCCTCGGTTTCCTTGCCTGTCCTCAGGAAAGAGGCAAGGAGGCGGCCCTGCAGAAGAGGGGCAGGAGCTTCGCCATTCGCTACCCGGCGCTCGCTCTGCCTATAAACGGACTGGGCCGGGTCTCCGGGGCTTAATATGGTTTCTGTCTTTCCAGTTCAGGGCCAGGTTTGCACCCTGTGCAACGCCGAGACGCGACGGCCTAGAGCGGCGCCACCCTGCAAGCAGAGGGGGGGAAGATGAAGGGGAGCTCAGCCGAGGCTTCCGGCGCCCCTTCTCCCCCCCCCCCAG